TCCTGCTGTTAAAATTGTGAGGTTTGGAGCTGGGAGTGATAAAACCCGAAGAGAAGAGCTCTGGGAGGCCATGTAGTGGGTGTTGCAGTAACGTGCAGAATCCCTCGTGAGCAAACAGGCGAAGGCTTCAGGGCTGTGGGGTGTGCAGGAGGATGCTCCGCCTTAGTTTTAGTTATTAGGAATAATATGTGATCTCTGTTGCATATTATAGACGGTGTGCTGCAGCACATTGGATAAAAGGGGAAAAATCACCCCATTATATAAAATCTTAGCTCAGCAGCTGGAGTCCACCCAACAGCTTGGTTTTGTGCCCGAGAATTGTTGGATGTAGGGCATAGCTATGGGAATTCCTACCTCACCTTTTGTTTCCTCTGCAAACTTTACCAGGTGACTGGATACATTACGATCAGAACAAAAATGAGCAGAAAAGAAGCACAGTCAGTAAGTCAATTTGAAGATAAGTCGGGGTTGCTTATTTTCTGTGTACCTCGCTTGCTGTTGTAGCTCAAGTGATACGAAAGAAGTAACATCACCTCTTGCTTGCTTCTTAGGTGTCAAAAAACGGAAACCAGCCATCACCATTTTGGAAGAAGACGAGCTCTGTAGCAAAAAGCAAAAGACAGCCAATTCTGCAGGTAGAACATTTCTGTGTCATTTAAAATAACAGGTTTGTGGGGGTTTTATCCCATGAATTGAACCTGAGCTCACTTTTTTGAAGACTTCCATGAATCTGAGCATGACATATAGGAGGAGAAAGCGCTGCTTTTGTAGATGCAGGATTTGTACCTGCATTTGTGTACTTCAGTACACTTTGTCATTCATTCGGTAAATAAATGGGGACAAGCAGCTAGGAAATTTGCTTTATAAGGGTCAGCTAAAATGGTATTGTCTTCTACGACTGGGAAATAGTGGCTGCTTTTGAAAACGGTTTCCGCTACATGTCTCAGATTTTGCGCTCAGGATACCTCCTGAGCCATAATAGGCTGATTTTTTCTGAAAAAAAATCATCTCCCATTTATTGATGACATGTGATGTTCTGATGGTTGGAGAAACTTGGTGTCTGGGAGCTCCCACCCAGAAACTCCTCATTTACTAATAGTTACCTGGAAAAAATACAGAAGAAATAATGTTAGTTCAATAAATAATGAAAACAAAATCAGCTAAGTAGCCACATAGGTGTTTGTGGGTGCGTGTAGCCACCAGAGGGAGAGCTTCCATCCCTCAAAACCTCCGTTTGATGTGTAATTGGTGGCACTGAGGAGAAAAGCGGCTCAGTCCATGTAACCGCGCGGGCTGAGATTTCTGAGCCATTGTAACTGAAGGAAAAACAAACATCTGGAGCAGCTGTAGTTTTCAAGAAAAACTGGCATGTGAACTTGCCCGGAGGTAGCGAGTGCTCAGCACGGCCTTAACATTACACATCTCCAAATCTCTGGGTGCTTGGTAACCTAACGTACAGTTCGTACGGTTTTCCTACTAGATGAATAGCTGCTTATAAATGGAAAAAATCCTTTACAGCAGCCAGCATGCAATCAGATGTTGTCACCTTCGTGAGCCAGGCTTCTTAGTCCTTCAAGTGCTTTTCTCCAGCGCTTGGCTCTGACCTTGCTGGGTAATCTGAATAATAAGATCACCTTCATCGTGTGTCCTTGGCCACACACAGAACTAATAGTGTCATTTAGTTACAAGGTTAATGAGAAGAGCAATATTAAGTCTGATTTTTGTTCTTTGTCTTTTCAAATGGAACCAAAACAGAAAACTTAACTGATCAACAGCTGATGGGGATCGCAAAGTTGTTAGGTCGGCAGTGGAGAGAAATTTTCATTGAGTGTCTTCGGGTGGAAATGAAAGACATTGAGCAGATTCAGGCAACAGAGAAAGAAGTTAATATGCAAAAATTTCTGGTGTTAAGCAAGTGGAGAGACAGAGAGCAAAGCAATGGAACTGCAGAAACTTTGTACAGAAGTCTCCGTGGAAAGGTGCCCTATGAGGTAGAGCAAGTCCTACAAGGTATCGTCTTCCCATTATATTTATTTAATTACATCAGTATGTTTCAGATGTATTTTAAGAATTCACATCAGAGAGTTTACTGAATGCCTCGTCCATGTTTCACTACGTAGGTCAAAATTGTCTCCCTTCTGATATTAGTAATGACTTTCTTTCTTGTGGCATTTTTATACTTTCCTTCAGAAACTGATACAAAATGAATAATATTTTTGCACTGACTGTGTTGAGAGTACTCTCAGCATGACCTAGCCATCACGGCCAAACCAGTCAGCATTAAATACCCAAACCAATTCTTGGTTTTCTCAGGGAGTCCAAAGAAGAGATGTTTGGGTCTTTACTCTTTCGTATTTTAGGGAGGGTTAATCCACACCTTCCCCTGACGAATGATTTAGTGGTTTGGTCCTGCAGACACGTGTGTGTGTGTGTATGTATTTCCTTACTGCCCATGGGTGCTCCCACTGATTTCTGGGGGACTCCTTATGTTCAGTTCATCCTGCACATACCAAAGTTGTTCAGTGGGCTGAGAACTCAACCAGCCAAGGGGTATCTTTCTTAAAAATGAAAATTTTTTTTTTTTTTTTTTTTTTTTGGAAACAGGCAAAGTTTGCTTTCTCTTAACTCTTTCCAAAAGCAGCCTGGCTTCCAAGGGCAGAGAGCTGTTCGTGCTCCCTTGCTCATCTGACCCGCACAAACCTGTCTGTGCCACAGCCTTGCGCTGTCTCGTAGGCTTTTAATACATTTGTTATTCAACTTGAATATTGAAGTAACTTGTAGAGATCGGATAATCTGTGTGTGTTTGTGCGTGTTCCTTTCCTCAGATTTCTTGGCCTGATGCTGAGCTGGTGAAGCTGCAGCTAGGAGTGGGCGGCGGGCCCTCCCCCAGCCAGTCGTTATGCTTCTCCGGCCGCTTCCCCGGGATCTCGCTGAGATTTGGGAAGGAAGATGCAAGGCATCATCACTCAGCGGAAAGTTTAGGCAGGATCTTCCCAAGAAATGTGAATGAAATTTTGCGTGGATATTAAGCACACGTAAGACTTTCAGGGACAATTACTCATGCGGTGGATCCCAACATCGCGGCCGGGAGTGCCAGGCTTCACGGCTGGGGAAACCCAGCACTGCCACCCAGCTTTGTCTCATTTGAGCCAGTCCTAAAAGACATGAACACTGGAAGAAACCAGTTTACCTTGTTCAGGTATATGATTGTTATCTGGAAAAGTTTTTACTTACATCAGGGAAAGACAGGGAGAAAAGTTATGCAGAAACTTTCATCCCCTTAAAAAAAAAACCTGCCAAAATCATGAGGTATGTTGCATTTCTCACAGATGCCCAAGATCAGGGAAGAATAATCCTAAACTTGCAGATAAATTCCTCTGCATAATCACTCTAGGTATACATAATTACTGTATATACTCGTGTACATTCAGTCCTTGTTAAGCTCTGGTTCTGTTTTCTAAAAACCTGAAGACTGGTGTCGCGAGAGCACCACTATTGACTGCAGGCAGCTTTGATTTTTCCCTTGGAATTTCTTCTTCACTCTTTTCTGTACAGTCTGTCTCAATTTTTATGACAGAATTTTTTATGTTGTATATTTTTTTTTGTACTATAAACTTTTAATACTTTTTTTTTTTACTTGATTAATTTGAACTTGAATAGAATTAGGTGCGTAAACAAAAACAGGAGAAGCCAAAATCTCTGCGAAGGCTGTTACTCTGTCGGCAATGCACGTACCACACAATTTGAAAGATGTGGAAATCATGTTATTCGCAGAAAAGAGCAGCTACCCAATACAGGAGATTATCTTGTTTTTAAAGACACTGCATTCTTTTGATCATCTTCCTCTGCGTATGTTTATGAAAGAAAAAGCATACTTTTAAAAAATAAGGATTAAAAAGGAAACATTCACACTATTTGTGTATGGGGTTTGAATTTTTTTTTTATTTTAACTATTGGATGAAACGTTGCAAGGTTGTTGTATGTTGTGGGCCAGCTTTCCAACCCTTGATGCCCCACTGCTACATACATCCCAGGGGGTGGCCGAGGAAAAGGGCTGTGTTGGGGCCCAGGACCTCACAGGCTCTTCTGCCAGTGCGGCTTTTAGGGGGAAAAAAGCTGTGGGAGGCAGGGAGGCTCGTGTGGGGCTCTCCATCCTCAGGCGGAGCTGCCCTTGGCTCTTCTCTCTGGGACAAGCAGGGGGAAACGGCCTTCACGGGAACCTTTAGGATACCTGACGCAAACAAAGCTCTAATAGGACTCTCTGGTCAGAAGCAGAAAGCAGTAAATCTAAGCTGGAAATGAGATGCTTATTTGTAATACTGAGGGTAACTGGATAGCATAGCAGATGGTCAGAAGAGATTATAAAGGTCTTCAAACCTCAGGTTCTTTAAATCTAAATCAAGAACCTTTTTAAAAAAAAAAAAAAAGAAGAGGGGATGGATGCCGAAGAGGGGATGGATGCCTTCGTCTGGGCTGGCTTACGTACTGCGGGCAAAAATTGGGAAGATAACCATCCCGGCATCCCTCCTGGCCTTCAAAGCTACACATAAATCCTTGCCTCACCAAAACAAACAATTTAGCCACCATTTTGGTGGTGCCAGGGTTTCACCATGGAAACTATGTAACTGGCTGGAAAATCACGGTAAAGGAGGATGAAATTGAGCAGGTTGCTTTGAGTGCTCAGCCCGAGAGAAAAATCCACAAGAAACACATCTGACGTAAGTAACAAGACAGAAACAGGATTTTAAAATATGACACCAGTGCTGAACGTTACTAGGGTATACCTTTACATGCCAGCAATATTCGAAGTATTTTAAAAGTATTCATGCTATATCTCAAGGAAGAAAAAAAAAGTCACCACATTTTTTATGCAAACTTTAATTTTATTAGGCAATAAATAGAATAAATAAGGAATATCATCATAAATAAGTTGATTATTATAAATATGTTTCAATTTCTGAAAATTACAGCTGAATAAATAAAACAGTTAAGACAAATTACAGTTGAGTGTTCGGTGGTTTGAGAACATTTTGGTACTATGATGTAGCTTATTTTCTAGAAATCTAGTTTAACATGATGTCTTAAAAGGCACGGGCAACAGCTCGCTAGAACGTGATATATAAGAAACTCTGTGAAATATTATGCGCTTGGTTCCTAAAAAGCCCCCAACCACCTTGCAAGATGTTGACCTTACTATTTTTTTCTCCAAAACATCTTTAAGTCAAATTTATACCCAAAGTGCTGGAGGGCTGGGCGCTTACAGCGAGCTCTCCGGAGAGGTCAGGTAGTTCATCATCCTGTTGATGGTGACCGTGCGGATTCGGAAGGCGTGAAGGATGCTGCAGAGCCTCATCCTCTCCTTGAAGGAGGTCAGCCCCGCGCCGGCCAGCGGCTGCGGCACACTCCTGCTGCTGGTCTTCAGGGCCTGGGAAGAGGTAGGGGCATTACACGCTATCACCAGAAAGTGGCTAAAACAAAAACCTCTTTAGATTTTTCACCCCCTGAGTGATAAATGACAACACTTAGAAATAAGAATGCATTCTCACAAATGAAAAATTTGAAATATTTAATCATATAATTAATAGACTTAGGATGTGCAGCTGTGCTTTGCTTGAGGCAAAAATGTCCATTCAGGCACAAAGGCTCTTTCTGCCCAAGAATAAAGATGCTTTTTTAATAATAAGCCTACAGCCAGCTTTGTCTAGTGACCCCTTAGACTGGGCTCATCTGCTCGTGGCTGGAGTCTCCAGGCTATCGGGAGATGCTGTGTCAGTACAAAGGCAATTAACTGGTTTTTTAAGTAGCTTTTGTTAAACCAACAAGCAAGCTTTTAACATCTATTCCCTGTACACACTAATAATATTAATCATAGAATCATTAAGGTTGGAAAAGACCCTTAAGATCATCGAGTCCAACCGTTAACCCAGCACTGCCAAGCCCACCACTAAACTGTGTCCCTAAGCACCACATCTACCTGGCTTTTAAATACCCCCAGGGATGGGGACTCAACCACTTCCCCAGGCAGCCTGTGCCAGGGCCTGACTGCCCTTTCGGTGAAGAAGTTTTTCCTAATATCCAACCTAAACCTCCCCTGGCGCAGCTTGAGGCCGTTTTGTCTCGTCCTATCGCTTGTCACTTGGGAGAAGAGACTGACCCTCACCTCGCTACAACCTCCTTTCAGGTAGTTGTAGAGTGATAAGGTCTCCCCTCAGCCTCAAAATCCATACATCCTATTTTATATTCAGTATACCAGATGTATCATATTTCAGTATTTGGAAGAGACATGGAACAGTGTCCCTGTATCCTTTTACTCTATTTTGAGTTCTCTGAGGAACTGGCAGAAAATCCCGTAGCCCACCTCCTTGTGAGAGCAGAGCAGTGTGAAAGAAGGAGGGCTGCTAAGGAGCCGTGCATCTGAGTCCTGAGGTGTTGACCATATCGGCAAGGCAAAAATATGAAGTGAGATACATAATTCAAAAGAATCAAGTCCCTTCTGGGAAAAACAGTAACAGACAATTTTTTAAATTACCAGATTAAAGAAAGGTCACTATTTGACTGGCTACAGAATGGAGCACACTTGATTAAAAACTCTGGTTTAAGACAGAAGTAGTAGAAAGGAAGGAGACAGAAATACCTACCTTCATCATTTCATCAATAGTTGCCAGCACCTTTTGATCATTGAAGCTCTTCAGCTCTGCCCTGTAGGCATTCAGATCATCATAGATGCCCTGCAGGCATTTACTCTGCAAAAGTCAGCATTATTAGGAAATGCAGAAAGCTGATGTTAAATGCTTCAAACATACCATAAGCAAAAGAAGGGGTTATTTTGGGAAACTTGCTATTTACCGCATCAAAAGTAGATCTTTCCAGTGCCGGACAATTTCCAGTCTGCAAATTAAAGAAGAAATGAGACATGGTGATTTTGTGGAAGTGTAAATTACACAGCTGTTCCATGAAAATATGATGCTGAAACTTGATGTATTTTTTTTTTTTACCCCTGGATCCTCAGATGTGCAAGCTTTTATTGTGTTGATTTGATTCTCAGTGATATCTTCAAGATCAACCTCTTCAAGGGTACATTCAAATCCCAGCGTGCCAAGCTCCTGTGTTAAAAAGGGAATAAAAAAGGGTCATTGACTCAGCTTCACAGTACTGTATATGTATGTAAATACACACAATTATAAGCAATGCATCACAGCTGTCTGCACTTAACTGAATCCTAGGAACGAGGCTGTGTGAGGACTATGGTTAAATAGGAAAGCTAGCAAATAGACTAAAAGAGTGAAATGCATGTGGCAGTTGTATTCAATGGGAATAAGCTCAGACTTTGCAAAGATTTGTTTTATATGTTGTTGCAAATTGCGCTGCCTCCATTACTTTAAATTATTCTTTGATGTTTAAGCTGTTGAGAACTTTATGTCGCTATAGTTTCAAATGTAAAGTATCTCTTAGAAAGTGAAAAATAACTATTACCATCTGCACAGACATTTAACAGTGCTCACTGACCCACCGCAAGCGTGGGAATAATGAATTTATTTAGTAGTGGGGGTTTTTGGGGTTCTCTCAGATGAAGCTTGCAGCAACAGCAGGGAATTTTAGCAAAAAAAAAAATCCCCTTGGCGCTACTGCTGGGGGGCTTTAGCGTGGAAAGTTGCTACAGCACCAAACCAATGACACCAGCAACAACATGCAAACATAACAACAGTTGGGAGCAAGTATTTCCTGAGCCAACTCTGCAGGGGCCTCAGAGAACGAGGACGTTCAAAACTGAGAGCACTCAAATCAGCTGTTGATGCGTTGCTGGCACCGCTAACAGTGTGTGTGTTTCTGTGGGGCTGCAGTGAAAAAGGGCTGAGAAAGGCACCTGAGTAAATCATAGAATCGTTTAGGTCAGAAAAGACCTTTAAGATCATCAAGTCCAACCATCCTAAAGGGCTGGTCAGAGGAGGCATGAAAGGAAAGACCAGGTATAGAGTCTTAAAGGGAGTCTACAGAGAGCTTCACCTGCCTGGGTACCCTCACCAACCCATCGCTGCCCTCCTGGGTACCACCAGTTCCCTCCTGGGTACCATCACTGCCCCATCACTGGCCTCCTGGGTACCACCACCTCCCTCCTGGGTACCATCGCTGCCCTCCTGGGTACCACCCCTGCCCCATCG